GGGAAAGACCTATAAGTCAAGGGACCTCCCAGCCCCAGAGAGCATGAACAGTCCAGGGACGGTAGAGGTCCCTGGTGGTTTTTAGGCGGGCGGGCGTTGCCTGGTCAGAGGAGTAAAGGCTTAAGCAAGATTGGAGGCTGTCTTTCCCCCATGCTAAACTGTAGTGAGTTGGCTCTTGAATATCCATGATATTTTATTTCTACAATAAATCTAAAATTTAATTGAACATAATTATATGATAACCCTGAATAACTGAACTCTACTATGAAGTTGTGGTTGTGCAGCCTTTTTCTCTAGTCCTATCACCTTATTGGTTCTGCTGGTGCTACAGATGCTACCCAGAAACAAAGAACAAAGAAGAGGATGCGTCTCCTTGCTGGTGGGATAGAAGTAAATCTTTTCACTTAATAGGAATTCCTGTCTCCCTTCTATTGAGCCAAACAGGTTCTTCACGATCTAAGTACACAGCTTAATAGGACAAAGTAATAATAGTAATTGCTATAAAACTTTGAAAACGTTTACTTTAGGTTGAAGAACTCCTAGAGAGTTTTCTTCACATGTGTTTTTGGTGTGTTTTAGCTGATCATAATCATAAAAAAGTTTATTTTTCAGAACTCGAGGGGAAAATAAATTTACATGACCCGTACAGACCCCAGTAAATCGTGTGTTGGTCTTTATTATTTATTGGCCTCACATAGGCCTTTGAAGCAGCCAGAAGATGAGGAAGGCAGATTCCCTTCAGAATTAGTGATGCTTGAGAATCTCCTGTCAGGTTTCATACCTGGCTTTGTACAGCCCAGTTCAGCTCGATAGCTGCCAGAGGCCACTCAGGCTCAGAGAAACCATTTGCTAGTAATTGAAACTTCCTGGAGTAATTCTTTTGGGTGGAAATTAAATGAAATGATTTAAAGTGAGAGAGAGACAACCAAAGCAACTTGCCCAAACTGGTGAAGACAAATTCATATATATACCACTTAGTGAAGACAAGGAAAAGTAAATTAGTAGGACATACTTTTTAAATTTATAATTCCTCTTTTTTCTCCTTTTAAAATGATTGGAGGTGGTTTAAATTATTAAAGCACATATAAAGACTGAGTAAAAGACAAAAAGTAGTCTTTGGCATTTTATATGTTTGTTTTTAGTTATGGTGCCACCTCAACAGATACATGGAGTGAGGTTAGTTGTTTCTGTCGAGTGTTAAATTAAGCTGCAAATTTCCTGGCAGCTCATCTGGAAGGAAAGCAGGTTTTTTGTGCAGGACAAGGAAGTGTGCAAGCTCATGGAAAAAGGCAGGCTTTGCTGGCTTTGGCCTCCTGCTTGACCGAGGACACTAATGGAATGGGCCTTGTGCCTGTCAAGAGAATACGGGAATGCTGTCCATGCAGATGCTTTGCAGTGGCCTGTAGGTTAAGTCATAACTCCTCCCCTACACCCTGCTGCTAAGATGCACCCTCCACCTCACCCGCACACACAGCTTGATGACTCAGGTCCCAGTCGGATTATCTGATAAGGGTTGGGTTGTCACCACTACGTGAAGGTGCTGGACCCGTAAGCAGTGGTGGTGCCCTGTCCTAAACACTCAGCAGAGCTTTGCACTTGAAGTCCGCCCAAGGTGACCTATAAGGAGAGACAGATAGCTTCTGTCAGTAAGGAGTTGAACCCACTCAACAACCAAGGAAACGCACTCAGGCTTTAAGGCAGCAAAGATGCTGTGTACACCGACCATTTTTCAGAGTAAGAATGGCAGTGCTTCCCCCCACCCCCCACCCCGCCCCAACTTCTAGTTTTGAGGAGAAATGCAGCCTGTCATCTCACCAAGATAAAGTGTCTGCAGAACGTATCCCCTCTCCAAGCTGGGTGCGGTTGTTGAGTATTGGCCATTTGAGTTTTGACAAATGCTTGTCAGACAGGAGCAGTGTGAAGTGGGCCTTGGTGCCAGCTCTACCACGTTTCCCCATTTCTCTCAGGTCACCACCACAGTGCACACACAAGGAGCACATCATGCCACTTGTCCTGGTCATCAGTCAGGCACTCCATAACCTCCTGCCACCTTCCTGCCCATGATGGAACTAAAGTGCTTAGAGTCCAAGTGAAACTTCTTGCTTCCCTCCCAGGTCTAAAACTTCTAATCAGAATGTGTGTGTTTGGGGCTGGCAAGAGAGCATCAGGCCTAGAGTCAGGACTTAAGAAGGTGCCCCAGATTTGCTCAACAACTGCACCCAGCTTGGAGAGGGGATACGTTCTGCAGACACTTTATCTTGGTGACTCCAGGGGTAAGAAGCTTGATGTTTCTGTGGGTCCCTCCCCGCATCTATTCTCACCCACTCACAAGGACATGAAGACGGGGCAAGAGAGCTTGTCGCGTAGGCATTGGCCAAGCATGTGTTACCGTCTGTCCTAGCTGATTATAATAGTCATGCCTTCAGCAGCTCATCTTTAACGCACTACGGTGGATGGGCTTACCCAGGTTCATTATTGGTGATCGGCACTTGCCCTGTCAAATAACTATTCTCTCTTTAATTTAGGCACGCAAGTGATAGATTTCTAAAAGCATGAATAGGCCAGGGTCCATAGATTACATAAAGAAAATAATTCTCAGTAGTAGTTACATTAAAAAGTTTATATATTCATAGGTTGCGGGAAGCAGCAAGTTTTCTGAAGCACGTCTGAAGCCATAAATATAGAACAATGCACTTTTTCTATAAAGGACCAGATAGTAAATATTTGGGGCTCGATGTGCCATAAAGTGTCTCTGTCACTCATTCTTCATTTCTTTTTCTCAGCCACTTAAAACTGTAAACTCCTTGTCAGCTCTCAGCCATGCAGACCAGGCAGGAGGTCAGAGGTGGCCGGTGGCCCTGGTTTGCGAACCTTGTTCTAGATGCCAAGGCGAGAGTCTCAGGCCACTAAAAGCAGTCCAGGTTTAAGTAAGCTGGATTACTTAAGTAAACTGTAAAACAGTCCAGGTTTAAGTAAGCTGGATTACGTCACCATTGTCAAAAGGGTATGTTTAGAAATATTCATATACAGGATGGGTGAACCTGTGGTTTGTGTGGCTGCTTCTGTGGCTTTCCCCAGCATCCTACCCAGGTTCTTGCAGGTGCAGGCCGGGCTGCTGGAGTCGGGGGTTTCTCTGCCGCTGGCGAGTCCACCAGGAACATGAACTCCGCAAGGACCCAGACTGTGTTGCTGGTACTCACCACTGTGTTCCCAGGACATGGGACAATGTCTGGGAATGGCAGTACTCACATAGGTTGTAAACTGAGTTCTTACTGGTCTTGGAAGCACCCATATCTTTTAAAATACTGAGCATTTTGTAGCCGTGTGGTACTCTCTCTGTATATAGCATCACGTGGCATTGATGTGTCAGGCACTGTTCCAAGGGCCTCATGTCATTTTTTATCATGACCCCAGGAAGGCCACCTGCCCTGGCGTGCATACACAAGGCCAGGATCACATGGCCAGTTAGGGCAGAGCTAGGATTTGGACCCAGCCAGCACAGCTCTGCCACCCATGTAATGCATGGGCAACTCATCCTATGTCACCATCGAGCTTCCATCTTGAAACAGATTTGAAAGGATTTCTGGTTTTCCCTTGTGTGACTTTTCAAAACTACATTACTCTCTGTGGTATAAAGTATTCTAAGACAGATATGTGGATTTGTCAAAACTTCTAAGTTTATCAAAACGCATTGAACTGTATACTTAAAATAGGTGTATCTTATACAAAAATGGCACCTCAACCAAGTTGATTTTTAAAATATTCTAATCAAAAGTCACATGTGATTTGGAAAGCTTTGGGAAGGAATAAGGTAGCCAAAGAAACCTTTATTAATCAGGAAAGGAGTCCGGCCTCTTCAAAAAATTGTTAAAGGTTGTGTTTGCTAAGCTGTTTTAAAACCAGGAGTTATTTTTCTGTGATTTTCATCCTCAGGGAAAGGGAAACCTCTCCAGCGCAAGGGTAAGCCACCCAAGAAGCAAGAAGAGAAGGAGAGGAAAGGAAAGGGGAAGCCACAGGAAGATGAGCTGAAAGGCTCCTTGGCTGACGATGACAGCTCCTCCAGCACCACAGAGACCTCCATCCCAGACACAGAGCCCCTCCTCAAGGAGGTAGGAAGCCGGGTCTGCAGACGCCACTGCAGGCTGGGTTTGTTAGCGCAGAGGAGACGCCTTATAACAAAGTCGGTGCGCGCCTATGCTCAGAGGGCCTGAACAGTCACTCCCCTGCAGGAAGGATCACAGCCCTGGGGATGAATGTCTTCATTCCCCTGGGAAGAACACTGGGAAGCATGTTAATAAAGAGAAATTGTTAGAAATTGGAAACACTGCCTGAAAGTTAGGGACTATCTGGACCAGTACCTACTCTGGCTCATGAAATTTGTTTCAGGCTTTAAGTATCAAAGAGGGCAAGGAGGAATCACGCCATGCTCAGTAGATGGAACTTCCCCGTTGTAGCCCTACTGCAGCTCACTCCCTGCACAAGCAGAGCAGTGACTGTCTTGGGGGAACCGTGACCCAGGGAAAGGCTCCATGCTTTAGCAGCCCCAGCCCTGGGGACCCATCCCTACACTCACCAGCACACCAGGAGGGCTGCTCACCCCTCTAGTCCCCAGCTCTGCTGGTATCAGCCTCAGGCCCAGCCGGCAGGGTGTTGGTGCTGGCGAGCGTCTGGGCATCTGGTGATGACGGCTAACACCCTATGGTGACATGTTTCAGAGGCCACATGCAGAAAGGAAAGGCTTAAGTCTGTGTTGGCATTTTTATTTTTAGATAACTATGTCAAATTTAAAATAATCCTCATATAGCCTTTAATACTGTAGGCCAGAATGTCTTTTTCAGTTTTAATCTAGTGGCCTAAGGAATCATTTCTTAAAGATATCCCAGTGTCATCTGCATAGGATTTATATGTAACTTTTTCTTGTCAGCTGCCTGCACTCTTGCACTCTTCATTCACATTTGGGTGTGCTGCTCTGTGCACCTCAGTACAATTGGTAGCTAGTGTTGGAGCTGTGTACTCAGATCCTTTTAACAGATGACTTCAGAGAGGCAGAGTGTCATCTACTAATCTTTGAGTGGAATCCCAGTGGTTTTAGTGACAGGGATAAGCATTTGAAGGCATTTTCAGCACACGCTTTCTTCACAACTTTCCTCACGTCCTGTGCTGCCTTCCTAACTTTTCTTCTGACCCGTCTGCAGTGGCCCCTCTAGCCACCCGTCTTCATGTTTTCCAGGCCCCCGCTGGCTGGCCTAATTCCTGCCTCTGTTGTCTTTCCTCCTGCTTTTCCTCACTGTCATTTGCTTCCTTACAGACACGGCTCAGGACTTGCAGCCTCTGTGCTTGTTACCCTTATCCTGGCTAATCAGTTTTTGTCTCCCTCCTTGGTACTCTTCCAGGGGATCTGTGCTCTATTTCTTTGTGATGGACCTGTTTGCTAGTTGTGTGTTTTCTTCTGCACTAGGTTACCAACCTTGCAGGTCATTTTCTCTTGTGTATCTTTTCCCATTCGGTTTTACCCATTCATTCAACGAGTAGGTGCTGAGAGCCAAGTGCCAGGCCTTGTGCCCGGAGCTTAGCAGACAACAGTGGACAACAAACCAGGTTTTGTCCTTGAGGAGCTCACAGTCCCCAGGGTTCTTGACGAATCAAGTGCTCAGGAAATGCTTCTTGACTGAGAATAGTATCAAAGGTGTGTGGGCAGAGGCTGTTCTGGCCCTTTCTCTGATTGTTCACTCTTGACAGTGAAATAGATGAACCTAGTGAGACCCATTCACATCCAGGCTGCCTCAGTAACCACATCCTATAAAGCCAGACGCTGTCAGGTCGACTCTGATTTGCCATGTGCCTGTAACTCCTCACACCAACAGCTGTCCCTCTTGCTGCGCCTGTCCTTCCTGTCTGTCCTTCTGGTTAGCCTCAGTGCATCCTTGAACACAGTGCTGCTCAAACCAGTTTTTATTTCCACATGGTCCTGCTGCGCTTGACAGTGTGCACCTGCCCCACTCGCCGCCCAGGGGACAGTCGTAGCAGCATCAGGCTACTGTAAACAAGCATAAGGGCGGCTCCTGTACTTCCCTGGGTTTTGGACCAGAAGGAGCAGCTGGCAGGCCAGTCGAGCAGCACAGCTTTAGGAAAAGCTGGGTGTGGCCTTGTCTCCTAGGCCCCACACTCCAGCTGTGCAAGCCAGCTCTGCGCTGCCATCATGGCCCATGGGCTTTTCCGTACGAGGGCACAAGTTGGTCCATCCCGCTAGTGTCTCCCTCCTGCTACACCTCACAGCCCTCAGGGGAAGGACCCGGGCCCTCCTGGTAACCCCTCACCTGGCACCAAGTCGGTGACCCATAAGTTTATTGAGTGAATGAGTAACCCAGCCCCTGCCGTTGGTGGTGAATGGTTGTTAGCCATAACACTAGTGACAGTCTCACTGTCACTGTGAACGCTCAGTGAATGGGTGTGAACACTTATTCTTGACCTGGGTATAAATTAAAATGATACTCTCTGTAACTCAGACTCACCAAAACACAATTTTAGTAAGTCACAGGCTGAAAATTGATAGAACCACATAGTTAAGATAGCTTTGAAGAAAATTTATCATTTTTATACATACGATATATATATATCTACTGCATCTTTGGTTTTGTGTCTTTAAGTTTAAATAGGACTATATCATTTTTATTAATTGTTCTCAGCAATTAGGTGTACATTTCTTACAGGATACAGAAAAGCAAAAAGGAAAACAAGCCATGCCTGAAAAACATGAAAATGAAATGTCTCAAGTGAAGCAAAAAAGCAAAAAGCTCTTGAATGTTAAGAAAGAAGTCCCAACAGATGTGAAACCCAGGTGAGAAAAAGAAGTGTAAAGAGTTAAGACATGTAAAAGACATTACTGATGAAAAGTAGGTAATGTTTTTGCTTGGTTGGTTGATTTGGGGGAGGTTTGCAGCAAAAGCCCTATTCTGCACTTCATTTCTCTTGGCCTTTTTCTGGTGCCTGGTGTCCTCTGATTAGGGTCACATGCTTCTGATGTCTGACACATAAAAGGCACAGCTAACAACTTGTAAAAATTGAGGTTAGTAGCTCATCCCAGGCAGGGAGCCAGTCCACCTCTGCACACAGGTGACCTTGATGGTTTTGCCACAGCTGAGGCTTAGAGGGCTCTGGAGTGGCAGTCGGACCTAGAATTCCATGCTGTAAAACTTGGAAGAACCTGTGCTTAGGTGATCAGAGCAGATGTTAGCCATCAGACAAGGCTGCCATGCAGCAACTCTGACCAGACCCTGGGGGACGGGATTGTGGCAGCCCCCAGGGAAGCCTTGCTGCTGAATGCTTCTTCGAGTAAACGGAGGAGTTGAACTGTTGAGTTATTAACAACAGTTTTATTAAACTTGGATCTGCCTCATCAACTCATTTTATTTGAGCATTATTAACAGCGCCCTTCCTGGTTCGTCATATAAGATGGTCATCAGCACGAAAGCCAGCATCTGCCTTCTTGTGTGGTTGTGCGGGCATCAACCCAGGAAGTCTAAGGACCTAGGTGTAAGGCGGTAAAGGAAGACGCACACAGTGTATTTGTCATTAGGACTGGCCTTAGAATTCTTACCCTGGAGTTGATTTTTTTTTTTTTTTTAAATACCTACAGCACCTGATCTTCCTAGGTGGTCTCCCATCCAAGTACTAACCAGGCCCAACCCTGCTTAGCTTCCAAGATCAGACGGGATCGGGCGTGTTCAGGGTGGCATTGCTGTGGACTGGAGCTGAATCTTAAGCTTCACAAAAGCCCTAGTAACCGAGACTCCTCAGATTACACAGCGTAACTCAGGCGGGCAGTCTACTCTGTAGAACTGGAAACTGACCAGAAATTAGTGATTTCTGCAGTGAAATTTCACCTTGTCCCTGAGCTTAGAAATAACGCAGCATATGGGATTAGTAATGGAGTGTCTAAAATTTACTCTTCTGTGCAAATTGTTAGTTTCAGTGACTCAGTTCCACAGTTCATTGAAAACAGTCTGACCCAGTGAGGAATGTCACATGGGGTCATGGCTGACACACTTGGATCTCTCCTGAAAGAGTCAGCCTGAGGCACTAATTGGTGCTGCTCCTTTGGCTTCTGGAGGCCAAGAGTGATACTCAGCTGGTGGCTAGGAATTATTTTTCTAGGTCTTTTTCAGGCTTAGGTGATTGATCAGGCATTTTAAAATAGATGAGGCTGAAAAATGCAAATTACAAAAAACTCTGGTTTTTACAAAGACAGAGCTCTTATGAGAATAGACAGTCCTGCAGTAATTCTCATGATCATAAACTTGAAAACCAAGCTTCTGAGAATTATCTCACATAATTATCTCAACCATTCGTAGTTGCCTTTCCCAAAATCTGCTTTGTTTATGAGCCCGGATGCCTGAGCTCAGAACCTGAGACATATTTTTAAACAGTACATGTTAATCACACCCTCGTCCCTCTTCCACTGATTTCTGTTGTGTTCTGATTTTTTCTTCAATACATTGACCATTAGCAGATTTGATTTTGAAAAGTTTGTAAAAGTCTTTACTGGAGTATAGTAACCTTGCCAGGGTTTGTGAGTTCTCTGGTCAGCCTCAAGCTGGAGTAGCCAGTTCTCTGCCACCGCTCAGGGGACAGTCACAGTGACAACTCATGTTCCCCTTTTTGCCAGAAGACAGTTTATGTGGTGTGCTCTGAATTGTCTTTGTAAGTGGAGAAATCTCTATGCAGCCCTAGTCTTCTTTATTATCTAATCTTTTAAACTCACAGATCTTGTTTTGTGTTTTTCTGAATTCAGGGATAAAGATAAAAGTGTTGAGTGAGAATTTATTAGTACATCAATCAAATACAGAATTAAACAACTAGAGACTTTTTAAGTAACCAGCAAGGTGGCCTCTTTGAATAGTGCTGTTCTGTGTCTGCACTAAGTAACATACAGTCATTGCTGGTCCTGGCATTAGTGATACCTGGAATGCTGTCACCTGACATATGACAACACACATTTGAAGAATATATATGCACATTTTTTAAAAGAGATATCATTAATAAGGCATAGACTATTACTTTCTTTTGGAAGCTTTATCCAATTGAGAATAAATTTTGTTGTCAGCCAAAAAGTCAATCTTCTACTATCAATTAAATCTATGGACTTAACTTACATTTGCTTTAATAAAAATTAGTCTGTAAATATTATCAATATTATTGGAATCTCTAGGCCAGGAGACCCAAACCCTCAAATGTTGAAGAATTCCTTTTCCTATAAGTACGTGGTGACAGAGCCAGAGAGACACCTCAGTCTCTGCCCGCGCAGTCCTCCTGTCAGACTCCCAGGAGTTGACTTCACAGAAACCATTTTCTAGGAGTGTGGAGCATTGGGTGGAAGTGGCAGAGAGCTGGTGTACCATTTTTCCCAGTTCAGCTCACAGAAGTGGGCCTGTGGGCTGCAGAAGACTGCAGGTACTGAGAGAGCGGGACTCCACAGGACCCAGACAGGCTGGGGAGTCACTGGTTTAGGACAACAGCTGTCCTTGGTCCTTTTGTTTTCTGGTTATCAATATTTTACGTTTAGATAACTTAGATGTAGCAATCTAAAATAAGAAAAATGTCTAATAGAAAAGTTGTATCCTCTGACAATCTGCTCAGCTCAGGGCCTGGGAGCCACATTCCATGCCCTGGGCTCCAGCCTGTCAGCACAAGGGATGCCCCGGCCTGCCCTCAGCTCCCTGCCTCCCTGCCTCCCTGCCTCCCCAGACGGCCCATTCCCTGTGTTATGGGAATCGAAACAAAGCCTGGCATCTGAACCACCTTCCTGGTTCTCCCTCTTAGAAAGAATCGTTCAAATTCAGTTGACTCTTATCCACTTATTCAGAAGCCTGAAAAAAGATTTCTTAATTTAAGCTTAATTTGGCTTGAGGAAAGCATGAATCAGCAAAAATAAAATAGTTGTCTGGTACCTCTTTTCTTAAAAACCAATTAATTTTACAGTGACACACAGTTAAGCTTAGTATAAATAAATAGCTTCCACCCCACTCTCAGTCATAAACAGCTCACTTAAAAATAACTCACACCCACCCAGCTCCACTAGAGGGCTGGTGTCTGTCATGGGAGCTTTTGTGTTTTTTTAAAAGATGGAGTTTTTAAATAACCCTTGTCAGAAGTGGGAGAGGGATGGAAGATTTATAAAACTGTAGCATTAATGCTCTCACCCATAAACAGTGCATTTTTACATGTCAGTTTGTTATCTTCCCTAAAATTTTTATTTGGGTTAACTTTGGATTTTTGCTTAGCTCTTCTACTAATTCAAATATAATACCTATTTATGATAGAAAATTTGTGAAGTATAGAGAAACACAAAAATGAAAATGGCCTTTGACCTAGTCCTTTATAAAATGTTTGTAAATAGCATCCATTTCAATATATTTATCTGTTTATGAGATTACACTTTCGATGTCGTTCTGTGATCTGCTCTAGGGGAGGGGTGTGCTGGGTGCCTGTGGAGCGGAACCATTTGAACCGTTCTGACCTTTGAAATCTAGTGTGAATTAGCTGCCTTCTAAATGAGAACTGTGTGGAATCACACACCTGAGTTTTGGGTGCACAGAGGTGGAAAGTACTGGTGTGGAATCACACACCTGAGTTTTGGGTGCACAGAGGTGGAAAGTACCAAAGACACACAGTTTTAGAACAGCTGCGTCAGATTTTTAATGAAAAGCAAGCTCTCAGCTCAGCCTTGAACTGACGGCTTCCCCACCTTCGCCAGGAGCATGGTAGAGGTCCCTGATGAGTTTGGCAGAATTCTTGTAAGGGGCCACCGGGTTCTCAACTGTATCCAGCCTTCACCAGAAAATGCCCTTCCTGGACCAGTTGGCTTAGGTCCTGCGACTTGGTCTTGGGCATTATGGAAGCACTTTGCAAAGACTGTCATTGTGGCCCTCACAGTCACATTCACACGCTGCCACCCACGCAGTTCGTTCCCCAAGAGATTGCTTCTCTCCCAGCGACAAATGTTTTCCCACCGGGCTATGGACACTCATAGTAGCCCACCATGCCTCCCATTTCTCATTGGATGACAGGAAGTTCAGAGCTGATTATCCTGGCTACACACGTTTGTGATGTTAAGCTTACTGCTCAATTTTTTTGAAAGCACATAATACTCTAATAAAAATCATAAATTTTTGCTTAGTTCATGAATAAAGAAAATCCATCTCTCCCCACTCTCCCTGGACCTTAGACAGACACCGCATCCTGCTCTCTGCCGTGGTGTTCATGAATAACCCAGGAGCTCAGCCTGGTTCGTTCTGTAGTCTCTACAACAAAAATGCATTCAGAGTTCTGAGTAGCAGAACCCCAACGTTGGTAAGTCTGAGACCTTTCCAGGGCTTCATATTCAAGGCCCACCAGTCATCTAGATGCCAGGAGAGACTCAGCAACCCCAAAAGGGCATGTTTGTCCTAACGGCTGTGTGCACACTACCTGAGGCAGGTGCTCTGACCCTCACGTGCATTGGAGGTGGCAGGATTTGCCAGTGCCAGGTCTCCTGGGTGGCCCAGCCAGTCCTGCAGCAGGCCTGCAGGCAGGCAGTGCCTCAGGGAGCTGGGTCAGGAAAAACACGCAGCCTGTGCAGTGGGAGAGCAGTCAGGGCCACTATCCCTGCTCTAGCACAAAGGCATGAACTTGAATTTCCATCTGCACTTGTCTTTCAGTTGTTTAGAGCTGCCGTACCCGCCCCCACTAGACAGTAAACGGAGAAACCTCCCAACCAAGATTCCTCTTCCAACTGCATTGACAAGTGGCTCCAAACCACGGAATTCTCAGAAAGCAAAAGGTACTTCCCTGTTGATCATACCGATTCTTCCCTGATTGGTTGTCTTAACAGTTGTTAGTTGTGAATTACCAGTGATCAGTGAAGCGTTAGTCACACACAAGGCTACAGTCGTGTTCTCTCTTTGGAAGGTTCGCTGAAGTAGGCCCTAAGAAAGCAATCGGCCTCCATTAACAACTTCCTTTCTGGATTTCTGTGTAGGTACAAATAAGTTAGTGGATAACAGACCTCCTGCCCCAGCAAAACTCCTCCCAAATGGTGAAGAACCGGGCAGCACCAGCAGCTCAGAGGGTGAAAAGGACTCTCCGCCAGAGTGGGACTCCGTGCCAGTCCACAAACCCGGCAGCTGTAAGTATGGGGACTTAGGCTTCTCTCCGTGTGTGACAACTCTGCAGGGACATCTTACTTTATAGGGAGACCCAGTATCTGGTTTGCTGGAGCTAGCTCATACCAGCCAGCACTGGTTGTTAAGAGGTCTGCCAGGTGTTTACCTGTTGTAGCTTAACTGGCCATGGCGGGACTGTGCCCACCAGAGACACAGTAGACCATTCACACCAGGGCTTTTGTTTCCTGGAGGCTGGTGCACCAGTACACCACTGCCCCGCACCCTAGGTGGGGCGGCTTATCTGGACGAGGAGTCGTCCACAGAGCCGCTGCTTTCTGAGCATTAACTGCACAGCCCTTGGCCTGCTCATTCCTCACACTGTCTCGGTGCAGTTATTACTCTCGGCTTTACCCACATGGATGGACTGTTTCTCTTATGTGAACAGCCTATGCAACAGCTTCTGTATTTTCTCCTCATTGGCATCTTGACCTTGTTTGTTGGATGTGGACTGCAGTAAACATGACAGCAGCATAGTCTACTAAAATAAGGTAGAGGGCCTCACCTGAAATAGGAAATGGAGAGACAGCACAGGGAGGGACCTCATGGCAGGATTTAGGGTGAAGACAAGGCCAGCCTTAGGGCTTACTTGTCTATGCACTCTGCAGCGTTAGACTTAACTCACATTTGGACTATTTGCACCAAAGGCAAAGTCAAGGTTGAGCAACAGGATTGTTTAAGGTGAAGGGGAGGGATTAAATGAAGAGGTTATTGAAGGCAGTAAGCTGGATGGAGGCCAAGAACTTGGAAATTCAGGTGAGGTGTACAGGTTTGGGCGCTTCACGAGGGGACAGGTCACTTCTGGTGATGTGTAGGAAGGTCAGAGAAGGAGGTTGTGGAAGTGTCAGAACAACTGTTCAAGTAGTGACCCTACAATGTAGATATGGCATCAAGTGGGCCCACCTCTGTGGATGCTGGCACAGAGGGCAGGGGGGCATTTGAGCAGGGCTCGTACAAGAGATGGCTTTTGAGATGGGCCCCAAGCATGGTGTCAGGTCAGCAAGCAACAGAGCAGATGAGGGAAGGGATTAGCCACATGGTCAAGGGTGAGAGTGAGCCCCTTCCTTATACCTCGTTCAATTACAGCGGCTGGGCTAGCACCAAAGTCACATGGTAGATATGCAAGGTGATGGCTTTTTCTAATTTTTCTTTTTTTACAATTTTAACTTACAGTGGACGTGTATTATGTTAGTTTCAGGCATACAACATAGTGGTTAATTTATATACCTTTCAGAGTGATCACCCTGATAAGTGTAGTACCCACCCAACACCATACATGGTTATTACAGTATTACTGACTAGTCCCTGTGCTGTGCTTCACACCCCTGTGCCTGTTTTTATAACTAGCAATTTGTACTTCTTCATCTCTTCCCCTTTTTTACCCACCCCTTGACCCCCATTTCATCTAGCAACCCTCAGTTTATTCTCTGTATCCATGATTGTTTCATTTGTTCATTTATTTTGTTCTTTAGATTTCACATGTGAAATCACACGTATTTGTTTTTGTCTGACTTATTCCACTTACCATAATATTCTCTAGGTCCACCCATGTTTTCGTAAATGGTAAGATTTCATTCATTTTTTTTTTTTATGGCTGAGTAATATTCCATTGTTTATATGTACCACATCTTCTTTATCCAATCGTCTGTTGATGGGCACTTAGGTTGTTTCCATGTCTTGGCTACTGTAAATAATGCTGCAGTGAACATGGGGGCACATATATCTTTTCAAATTGTTGTTTTGGGTTTTTTCAGATACCTACCCAGAAGTGGGATTGCTGGGTCATAAGGTAGTTCTATTTTTAATTTTTTTTATTTTGATCCTCCATACAACTTTTCAGTGGCTGCACCAATTTACATTCCCACCAACAGTGCACAAAGTTCCCTTTTCTCCACATCATCACCAATACTTAATTTATTGATGTTAACTGTTCTGACAGATGTGAGGTGATATCTCACTGTGGTTTTAATTTGCATTTTCCCGATGATTTGGTGTGTTGAGCATCTTTTCATATGTTTATTGGCCATCTGTATGTCCTCTTTGGAGAAGGGTCTGTTCAGGTCCTCTGCCTATTTTTAAATTGGATTCTTTGGGGTTTTTTGGTGTTAAATTATAGGATTCTTTATATATTTTGGATATTAACCCCTATTGGATGTATCAATAGCAAATATCTTCTCCCATTCAGTAGGTTGTCTTTTCATTTTGTTGATGGTTTCCTCTGGTATACAGAGACTTTATTTTGAGGGACTCCCATTTGTTTATTTTTCTTTTCTTTTCCTTGGGAGAAGAGAGGAGACATAGCCAAAAAAATATTGCTAAGAACAATGTCAGAGGTTTAATGGTTTGGGGCATATAATCTCTTTAATATATTGCTGAATTCAGTTTGCTAATATTTTGCTGAGGATTTTCTTATCTGTGTTCATCGGGCCTATATTGGCCTATAATTTTTCGTTTATAGTCTTTGTCCAGTTTTGGTATCAGGGTAATGCTGGCCTCGTAAAAAGAGTTAGAGAGCCTTCCCTTCTCAAATTTTGTAACAGTTTGAGAAGGACAGGTATTAATTTTGCTTTGAATATTTGGTAAAATTCACCTGTGAGGCAGTCTGGTCCAGGACTTATTTGTTGGGAGCTTTTTGATTACTGATTCCATTTCATTAGTAGTTAATCAGTCTGTTCAGATTTTCTGTTTCTTCTTGATTCAGTCTTGGAAGATTGCATGTTTCTAGGAATTTATCTATTTTTTCCAGGTTATCCAATTTATTGGCATATAACTATTTCTTATACTGCTTTGTATTTCTGTGGTGTCAGTCATCACTTCTTCATTTCTGATTTTATTTGGGTTCTCAGTTTTTCTTGGTTTCATTGATCTTTGTTCTTGTTCTTTTAGACTCTTATTTTTGCTCTGATTTTTATGATTTTCTTCTACTCACTTTTGGGCTTTATTCTCTTTCTAGTAAATTTGATGTGGTCATGGGAGGAGGTGGGTGCAGTGTTATCTGCTCCACCATCTTAGTAGTTATATGTGTTTCTATTTAGTGAGTGCAAAGGAAATATTCACAACACTAAAATATTTTGTTTTAAGCCTTGGGAACAGCTGTGTAGGCGTCACCCTGAAGAGCAGGAGGAGTGTTATTAAGGGTTTGTGTCTTTGGAAACCATGCACCAGGAATAGCAGCAGGTGTGGCAGAGTGCGAGCATTGTGTGGGAACTCAGGGGTGTTTTGCCTGGAGTCCCACATCTGCCACAGATGTAAACCTATGTGGAAGTAGGCTTTCAGGTCCCGCACAGTGATTTCACCTGCCCGTCCCTGAAAGACAGAGAGTGGAAGAGGACCGAGTGTCTGGAGGTCTCACATGTGCAGCAGAGCAGGGCCCCCAGAATGCAGAGACGCCACTTTCCTTGTTTTCTTTAAACCTTTGAACAGAACGCACATGAAGCTTTAACTTTGCTTTTCTTTAGAAGTACTTGAGTTCTGTGTAATATCAACTGAAACACCAAAAGTAACTGATTGTAAAGAGCAAAATATCACATCAGTGAGACCTTTTGTTCTTACTTTTCAGCTACCGATAGCCTTTATAAACTTTCTCTGCAAACCCTCAACGCAGACATTTTCTTAAAACAACGCCAGGCCTCACCAACACCAGCCTCTCCATCTCCCCCCGCCGCACCTTGCCCGCTCACATCCCGCAGCAGCTACAGCAGCATCGTCAACAGCAGCTCCATCAGGTAGGCCCACCAGTCACTTCCTGTTCCTGGAAACCTGAGCCTCATTCCGTTCAACGGAAACCCTTGGTAACCTCAGGCTGCTGTCCTGTCTTGCCTCCTACATCTGCCAGTGACAGCAATTCCGCCCTTTTACTTGGGGTCAGCTCTCCCAGCCCCACGTCAGTTCCCGACCCCAGCAGCACCCCTTCCTCCTCTTGGCACGTCTCACCCAAGGATTGGAGATGCATCGCTAGCTGTTAGAATTATGCCCTGGGTCAGGAGTCACTAGCATGCTAAGCATTAATGAAGAGCTAGAGGACATGGACGGATGGGACAGTCATTTTGACCTCATGGCAGTTTCACTTAGCAGTTAACATGGCAGGATCTGAAACGACTGCTGCCGGAGGTGACAAGCGTACAGCAGGGTGGCCTCCTAACAGGCAGGTGGGACCCCTCAGCCAGTGCTCCTCACTGGGGCACAGGCACCTTGTGTTTGACAAGTTTTTAGAGTAACAGTGGTAATTGTGAACACGTAGCAAATTCTTACCATATGTCAGCGTGGTTCTCGGAACCACACAACTGTCTCTGCATTTCATCCTCCCAGCAGTCATGGGATAGGTGCTGTCACCACCCAGCTTTGCATGTGAGAAGCAAAGGCTGCAGTGTGCCTGCTGGGTTTTTAACTCTGCCCGATGGAGGCTGGGGAGACCACCACACCCCCCGGGGCTCCTCCACTGTTCGGACGGCAGGAGACCCTCTCAGACCTGGTCCATCGTGCGCCATCTACTGTTCACTGCCGAGCGCCCCTTCCTGAGCTCGCCTCTAAAAAACAGCCTTTTCAGTCCCTAATATGTGACCTTCTCCCTGGTGTCTTCTGTAGTGACCTTGTACTTTACCTTCCCTCACCTGACTGCATAGTCACAGGGCCCAGAGCGTTCACGTGAGGCCAGCTGTGCCCTGTGCCCGCCCCAGCAAAGGCACCAACTGCCTGGGCTCAGTCCTGCAGGAACCATAGCTCTGATACAGGTGTCTCCCAGGCCTCCGCGGGTGGTACCGACGGGGAATACGTTGTTCTCTTTGCTTTTTCCTTCAGCGACCCTAAAATCAAGCAGCCAAGTGGAAGCAAACACAAATTGACAAAAGCAGCCTCGCTCCCTGGCAAGAATGGCAACCCCACTTTTGCTGCAGTCACAGCTGGCTACGATAAGAGCCCCGGTGAGTGGCCTGGCATCAGAAGGCCTGTCACAGCGGGGCTCCAGGCCTGGTGGAATTACCTTTGGCCTGGTTTGCCTTTGATTGATTCAGAGTCCATTTTTACAGGTGGGAATGGCTTCGCTAAAGTTTCTTCAAACAAAACAGACTTTTCCAGCAGCCTTGGCATCTCACATACTCCTGCTGACAGCGACGGCTCCGACAGGTACAGCAGGCTGTTCTCAGGAGAAAGAGGGACAGCTTCTGAGGTCAAGTTAGCATCTCTGTCCGTGCCTGAGTCTCAGGCATTTTGCCCTAGATTACGAGTGGGCATGTGTCAGAAGCAGCCCCAGCCTCTGGGAGCTCATCTGGCGGGCGGAAGCAGAAGGCCCAGTTGCTGTGCCTCCCTCACCAGCTCCCCTGACAGGGAGGTTCACGTCCCCGTTTTAAATCTGTTCTCATCCTTCTCCAATATCATCATCTCCTGTAGGAAAGGATATGATCTGGTCATTAGAAATAGAAGAACAGAAATGTATATGAGAGGAAAGAAATTGGAGCAAATACTAGACAATTAAGAGTAAATTATCAAACATGCCATTTTGGTGACCCAGAGCCCCTGGGCTGGGCCTGGTGCTGGGCAGTGAGCACCCCACTTAGCCTTCCCAGGGAAATAACAGGCATAAGGACTGCTGATAAGCAGAGCCCTAATTGTACCTGCTTGGCACTAAGAGGAAATGAGTCCTGGATTTGAAATAGTTTTTTAATAAGTCTTCCATTACCAAAAAGTAAACGTAAGGACGAAATGTCTTCTTACTGCACAACTCTCTTGGAACCAGGCCCTCAGCTTGTGATGAGGAGTCTGGAGCTCTGTGTGCCTTGGTCCTCTGTGGAGGAGCACTGTTCCTCCATCCCCGATTCTTGCGTTTCATGTTTGAGCTACCCCAGTTGTGAGGCCGTGCCAAATGGACCTGTTTCCACTAACCATCATACATTTTCCTCTTGTAATATTTAGCTCAGGTTTGTGGAGTCCCGTCAGCAACCCCAGCAGTCCTGACTTCACACCCCTCAATTCGTTCTCCGCCTTCGGGAATTCTTTTAACCTAACCAGTGGTGAGTGTTTAACACTGGACCTGTCACTAATAAGCCTATGGACAACAGAGGAAGAGGGCTCATGTCATGTGTGGAGGAACACACCGAGAGCACAAGCCTGCGTATCGTTCAGTGGACACATTGAGGAGATGCAGTTCTTCATCCTTACAGCCAGGCACCAGTAGATGTAGATGTGTGGGCCGACCTTAGAGGGCCCCACAGGAGCCTCTCAGGAGGGTCTCCTCCCGCTCCCTGCCCAGCCCAGAGGTGCCATGGGACAGGCTTGAGGCCATGAGTCCTGGCTGGTTTGTGCTCCCCAGCACACACTTAACTTCAATACAGACTCCTTTGTTGAAGTGACTCCTAGCTATACTGGGGCTCCTTACTTTTTCTTGCTGTCCAGAATTAAAGGCCACTGTATGAGTCTTGCATTAGCTGTGACCATAATGGTAGACTTGGGGGACGTTTGCATTTGATGTCATACAGCGAGAGGTTTGGGTGAAGTATTCAAATCCTGTGACATGTGCCTGAGCTCTGGGGAACATCACCTCCCCTGCCCCAAGTGTGGTAGGAGCTGACAAAGTAGGTGGAACACATGCCACTGAGTGAATGCCCCATCTTGTTGTAGGTGAGCATGGCAAAATACAGCATGGACTTGAGGTTGTGTCTTTATTTTCAGAAGTGTTCAGCAAACTTGGGTTATCACGATCGTGCAATCAAGCCTCACAGAGGAGCTGGAATGAGTTCGGTACAGGCCCAGCATACCTTTGGGACTCCCCAGCAACGGATCCCAGCCCTCCCTGGCCGGCCAGTTCCGGTTCCCCAACCCCCACGGCCACAGTGAGTACTCAGGGCCCAGCCATGGCTGTTGCCGCTCGGTCTCTTGGATGACCCTGACACAGTTATAAACAACAGATAGCAGCGGTGGGGTGAGCGCTGTAATTGGCTCCCGTCTGTGTCTTCACATCTGCCAAAGTGACCCAGCAGTGTCCTTCGGAGCCATTATAGTCAAGGAATCAGGGAAGGGGAGGCTTCCAGTCACCATGGCAGATAGGTCAGCACTGTGCGGTGTCTACAACCACATCAAAATTAACTAAATTATAGAATCACCACCACTGAGAACCACCTGAAGTTCAGCTGAAGAATCCTGTAACCAAGGCCTTCCAGAGAGGCCATGGTGAGACTGGTAGGATAGCAGACACAGAACAAGGAGGCCACCCCCGAGGAGCCAGGGGTCACAGCCTCATATCAGGGCCCCCGGCCCAGGGCACCAATGCTGGCAATAGGAGTCCCCATAACAACTGGCTATGAAAGTCGCAGATTTTCCTCTTAAGGGCTTGCAAGGACTTATGCCAGCGGATTCGTTCGCTCTGCGGTGCAGCTCTGGGGACATGGCCCGAACAGTCCCAGGGACATGGAGCTGAGTTGACTAACCTCAGGGTGAGCTCTGGAGGGGCAGGGGTCAGGGCATCTCTTTCTGGAGACAGAAGTACTGGCAGGTGACAGAGTTCCTTTGTTAAGAGCTCTCATTAGAGGGAATCAACAGATTAGATGAAGCAGAGGATCGAATCAGCACTCTGGAAGACAAAGTAGCAGAAAACACCCAATCAGAACAGCAAATTTTTAAAAATGAGGGTGGTTTAAGGGGCCTCTGGGACATCATCAAGCGTACCAACATTTGCATCATAAGGGTTCTAGAAAGAGAAGAGAGCAAGGAATTGAAAACCTAGCTGAAGAAATAACGGAAAACTTCCCTAACCTGGCAAAGGAAATACACAAGTCCAGGAAGCGCAGAGTCCCTAAGAGGCCCACACCAAGACACAGCATAATTAAAATGCCGAAGGTTAAAGACAAAGAATCTTAAAAGCAAGAGAAAAGAAGTTACCTACAAGGGAGCTCCCATAACACTGGCAGCTGATTTCTCAGCAGAAACTTTGCAGGACAGAAGGAATTGGCACAAAATATTCAAAAGTGATGAAAAGCAAGGACCTACATCTGAGATTGCTCTACCCAGCAAAGCTATCATTTAGAATCAAAGGACAGATAAAGCGCTTCCCAGGCAAGAAAAAGCTAAAGAAGTTCATCACCACCAAGCCAGTATTACAGGAAATGTTAGAGGGAATTCTTTAAGAAGAAAAGATAAAAAATATGAATAAGAAAATATAGGAAAGAAAAATATTCTCACTAGCAAAGGCAAACAACTATGGATCAGCCAACTACAAAGCTAGTTCAAAGGTGAAAAGGCAAAAGTAGGAAGATCATGTGCCATTACAATAAGTTAAGGGATACACACAAACATAGAAAAGGGAAAAATGACACAAACATTAACATCGAAGGAGTGAGTAAAAATTGCTGTGATTTTAGAATGTATTCAAACTTAAGTGACTATCAAACAGAATACTGTACATAAACATAGCTCAGTATGTAGGTATCACAGGCCAACCAACCATGAACCAAACATCTGTAAAAAATTTAAGAAATGGAGAGAAAGGAATCCAGATACTGCGCTACCGAAAGTCACCAATACACAAGAGCAAGAGAATAAGAAAGGAACAGGAAACAGCTAATCAATCAGAAAACAATAAAATAGCAGTAACTACATACCTGTCAAGACTATTTTAAATGCAAGTGGACTAAAGTGAGAATGAAAGAAATAATAAAGATCAGAGCAGAAATAGAGTCTAAAAGAACAATAGCAAAGATCAATGAAACCAAGAGCTGGTTCTTTGAAAAGATAAACAAAATTGATAAACCTTTAGCTAGACTCATCAAGAAGAAAAGACCTAATAAAATCAGAAATGAAAGAGGGAGGTGACAGCCGATACCACAAAAATACAAAGGCTTATAACAAAATATTGTGAACAGTTATAGGCCAACAAATTGGACAACCTGGAGGAAATGGATAAATTTCTAGAAACATGCAATCTTCTAAGACTGAATCAAGAAGAAACAGAAAATCTGAACAGACATAACTACGAACAAAATGGAATTGGTAATTAAAAAAAAACCTCCCAGCGAACAGAAGAAGTCCTGCACCAGATGGCTTCATGGGTGAATTCTACCAAACGTTTAAAGAATTAATACTTATCTTTCTCAAACCATTCCAAAAAAATTGAAGAGGAGGGAGAGCTTCCAAACTTATTCATGAGGCCAGCATTATCCTGACACCAAAACAAGACGAAGATACTACAAAGAAAAGGTAAATTACAGGTTATATGTCCCTGGTTGAACACAGATGCAAAACTTCTCAACATGATCTTAGCAAACCAAATTCAGCAATACATTAAAAAGATCATATACCATGATCAAGTGGGATTTATCCCAGAAATATAAGGTTGATTTGATATCCACAAATTAATGTGATGTACCACATAACAAAATGAAGGATAAAAATCATATCAATAGATGCAGAAAAAGTATTTGACAGAATTCAACATCCATTTATGATAAAAACTCTCAGTAAAGAGGGAACATACCTCAATAATAAAGACGATATATGACAAGCCCACAGCTAACATCATAATGATGAAAAACTGAAAGCTTTTTAAGATCAAAAACAAGACTAGGATCACTTTTATTCATCGTATTATTGAAGTACTAGCCACAGCAGTCAGACAAGAAAAAGAAAGGCATGCAAATTGGAAAGAAGTGAAACTGTCTTTGTTTGCAGATGACATAATACTTTATAGAGAGAACTTTAAAAATTCCATCAAAAACTATTAGAATAAATTCAGTAAAGTAGCAGGATACAAAATTATTTAGATTCAGTTGCATTTTTATACACCGATAACGAAATACCAGAAGACGACAATCCCATTTATAATAACATCAAAAAGATTGAAATGTCTAGGAATAATTTAAATGAGGTAAAAGACCTGTACTTGGAAAAGTATTAAACATTATAGAAAGAAATTGAAGAAGACACAAATAAATGGAAGATATACTGTGCTCATGGATAGGAAGAATTAGCATCCTTAAAATATCCATACTGTCCAAAGCAATCTTCAGATTCATTGCAATCCCTATCAAAATACCAAAGGTATTTTTCACAGAACTAGAATAAATAATCCTAAAATTTATATGGAACCACAAAAGACCCCAAATAGCAATCTTAGAGTGAAGAACAAAGAAGAACAAAGTTGAAAGTATCATGCTCCCTGATGTCAGACTATACTTACAAGGCTATAGTAATCAAAACAGCATGGTACTGGCATAAAAACAGACACACAGATCAGTGGAATGGAAAAGAGAGCCCAGAAATGAAACCACGCCTACACAGTCAATCTATGAAAAAAGAGACAAGAATATACAATGGGGTAAAAGACAGTCTCTTCAGTAAGTGGTGCTGGGAAAACTGGACCATCACTTTCTTACATAATTTCAAAATGGATTAAAGACTGAAATATATGATACAAAACCATAAAACTAGAGGAAAATATAGGCAGTAAACTCTTTGACATTGCTCTTGGCAGTAATTTTTTGGACATGTCTCCGTGGGCAAGTGAAACAAAAAAATAAACAAATGAGACTACTTCAAATTGAAAAGGATTTTGCACAGCGAAAGAAACCAACAAAACAGAAAGACAACCTACTGAATGGGTGAAGATATTCGCCCATGATACATCTGATAATGGGTTAATATCCAAACTATGTAAAGAACTCATATAACAAAAAAAATAATAATTTGATTTAAAAATGGGCAGAGGACCTGAATAGACATTTCTCTAAAGAGGACGTACACATGGCCAATAGACATATGAAAAGGTGCTCAGCATCACTAATGATCAGAAAAATGCAAATCAAAACCACAGTGAGATACCACCTCACACTTGTGAGAACAGCTATTATCAAAAAGACAACAAACAAGTGTTGGTGAGGACGTGGAGAAAATGGAACCCTTGTGCACTGCTGGTGGGATTGCAAATTGGTGCAGCCACTGTGGAAAACAGTATGGCGATTCTTCAAAAAATTAAAAATAGAACTACCTTATGACACAGCAATTTCACTTCTGAGTATTTATCTGAAGAAATCCAAAACACTAATTGGAAAAGATACGTGCGTCCTTGTGTTCACTGCAGCATTATTTACAATAGCCAAGATATGGAAGCAACCTGAGTTGCTTCTGTATCAGTAGACAACTAGATAAAGAAGATATGGTACATAGATACAATGGAATATTACTTGGCCATAAAAAAAGAATGAGATCTTGCCATTTGCAACAACATGATGGACCTTGAGGGTATTATGGTAAGTGAAATAAGTCAGAGAAAGACGAATACATAATGTCTTACTTATATGTGGAATCTGTAAAACAAAACAAACTTATAGATACAGAGAACAAACTGAAGGTTGCCAGACAGGAGGGGGTAGGAAGATGAGTGAAAAGGGAGAAGGGATGAAGAAGTGCACATTGGCAGTTAGAAAACAGCCACGGGGGCGTGAAGCACAGGGACTAGTCAGTGACACTGTAATAACCATGCACGGTGTCAGGTGAGTCTTCACTTATCAGGGTGATCACTTTGTAGGTTGTATAAATGTCTAACCACTATGCTGTACACCTGAAACTATCGTAATATTGTATTTCAACTATAATTGAAATTTTGTTTTTTTAAAAAAGTTATGAGAAGAACAACTGAGCGGCTGTGGGGTTGGCAACTGGAGTCTCTCCCAGCAGAACAGGTCACTTCAGCCTCTTCCCAACTTGTAAACCAATCACAAGTGAGGCCGTGGGCCCATCCTCAGGTCTCCCCTGTCCTAGGTTAGACAGCGACCAAATGCAGCCTCCCGGTCCATGCAGAACAGCCCTAGGCACCACAGAAGCAGACTGCTGCGGTGGCCTCAGTTTTGTTTGAGGAACCTGTGTCCTCATTTGAGCTTTCTAGTGTGCATTTGTTTGCTTTTCGGCTAAGTTTTTTTGTAAAAGTCATGCTCCAGAAAAGCATTCTTACCAAGGGAAATAGTTACTGGTTTCAGCTTTTACAAAATGACAGAAAAATATCTTGTGCTTATACTTCTTCCTTCTCAGGAAAACTGAATTAGACGAGCAAGGTTTAACCATACTAATTCAGGGTCCAAAGTTTGTCCCCACTTGTGATCATTTTGTATTCAGTTTTAAAAGCATCTCAGCTGTTCTTTAAAACGGGGCAGTCAGTATTTCAGCTTTACAGGCCATGCTGTTCTGCCACCGCAGTGCTAGCAGCCACGACAGCACATGACAAATGCATGGCTGTGCTCCAGAGGGAACAGGCAGGGCAGGACTTGGGTCTTCTGTAATGTCACAGCCCTGTGCTCAGTCTCTGGGAGGGCTGCATGCATGACACTTCTGATTTTACCTCACGCGTGTCGTTTTGTCCCACCAGCCCGTCCTCGGCAGTCCCAGCGGCCTGTGGTCCACCACCCCATTCAGCAGCTCCATCTGGTCCAGCACCTCCCTCCCCTTCACCACTCCCGCCGGCACACTGACCAGCATCGGCCTCCTGGGCGCAGAGACCAGCTCCGGCCCCCACACCCCTTCCACCTCTGGCCCCGCCGATGACTTGGGACAGACCTACAACCCATGGCGGGTGTGGAGCCCCACAATCGGGAGGAGGAGCTCCGACCCGTGGTCTAATTCGCACTTCCCTCATGAGAATTGAAATTAGACCAAAAAAAAAAAAGCAGGACCCCTGGTCTAGATCATGACAGGCCGGTCCCCAGACGTCCATCTGCCGTAGCTCCCGTCCCCTCCCCTCATCTTGGCCACACAGACTCGAGCAGAGCAGGCTATACCACCCGCTGCTTTCAGACCCTTCTCACAATTATGATACTGAGATTTGCTGTTGTGCTTTTAGAAAAAGTCTGGACTCAGCCACACTCTGATAAGACCTGTACATCTGGAAACCTTACCTGTTACCAAGTTTCCACCTCCCTTCTTCCATTCTTTACTTACCCGTATGAACACAAATTTGACATTGCAGCTAAGGAAGTAATTTGAGTTGATTCAGAAGTCTGGCATGTGACAATTTTATTAAATTACCAAGTCTGGTTTTTAATAGTTACACAATATTATGCGCCGAGATCTAATTTTAAAAACATATGAAGACTTTGTGCTGAAAAATACAGAGTATTTTTTTAAAATAAGGCTGTCCTGGTTTAAAAGCAAGTTACAGAAATGTAAGTTGACATTAAGAACAGTGAATGAATGTGAAAACATTCAAGACCATTTGCATTTCCTGTGCTGTTTGTACTTGAGGTATGTAACATTTGTATACCTGAATTTATTTTAAAAGATAAACTGAAATGCACATAGCCAAGTCTTGAGATACAAGATTGAATGTGTATTTCTTAAAAATACAACTTTGTGTTGTACTTTGAAATAAATGCTTTTTTCAAAAGCCTTGAATTGTTGTGTGCCTTTCCTTTTTTACATGCAAGATGCATTTGTTTGATTCTTTCACACCAAAGTAAACCATGCTGTCATTGCCTTCGTCTGTGGAGTTTGCTTTATTAGGGCTGGAACCATCTGTGCTGATTAAATTCTGTGTATTTCCATGACAGTCCCTGAAGGTGCCATCTAAAACGTGTCTTTCCTTTTAAATAGAAGTGTGATCCTTTTCCAACCTTAAAACTCCCACACCACTTCCAGATGGTACCTGTATTGGCTATGCGGATACCAGGCAGGACTAGAATGCCTTAAAATAGAGAACAATCTTAGAAATTAAATTATCTCAGATGAAAAATATTTACCCACACCTGGGCAAGTTGGCAAAAAATAAATAGCATAATAAATGATTGTGTTTAGGGGATAGTCCACCCAATTCGAATGTTTTAGAAACAAGCTTCTAACCTTGACAAAAGCCTATAAAAATTGAGCAAGACATTTTAGATCCTTTGCTACCAACAAAATAGCTATAACAGCAATGAAAGAACGCAAAGCCACAGACCCTGATGGCAACACTTGGGCTGACCACTGTGCTGAAGAAATAAGATTCACCGTGAGAAATCCTGTAATCTCACGGGTAAGTGAGACTGGACAAACAGGATTTTATTAACTGTCAGAACAAGCCCCTGATTAGGGAAGTAGAAAATGGGAGGAGCCATGATGTGCATTACTTACATCACCAAAAAGTTTACAGCAGAGTCTAACAATTTTTCATCATATTACCTGTAACAACAGATAAATTGGCAACAATGTTAAACCAGTGCTTATGGGGTAAGATTAGAGGCATCATCAAGGATGTCTCTAAATCTGCCCTCTGTGCAAATGAAACAGTTCTGACAAAATGTAAAGACACATGTGGGAGGGAACCAGAACCTCAGAGGCCCTAAGACACTTGCACGGGAACTTCCTACAAACCCCTCCTGCCAGGAGTTGTGAATACGTCTGGTTGTGGTTTATTTTCAGTGTGGATTGAATGTTTCCCATGAGAGACCTAAGACAAAAACCAAAAAGAGTGCTTAATCTTGTTTTCCAACCCGGAAAACCCCACCTAACTAATGACAGACACTTGTTTTTCTAGTAGTTACTAAGAAACACTATAAAGTTTTGCCTTTAATGCAGACTTCATTGTCTCTATTTTCCACAATTCTCTAGGAAAGAAACAAAATTTTTAAAGTAAAATTAGCAAACCTCTCAGAAACCTGAGATTGTAGGACTTAAGATCACCAGTAGCTCCATGTTAGGAAGAACCACCTCTTGGACTCACATTTTACTTCCTTATGAATTAATATGCTGCCACCTCATACATTTTGAAATTTCACCCCAATCTTAGTTCCCACATGATTACAAACATTTTATTTCTAGCTTTATCTAGAAATAATGAAAACACCCACCTGTACATGATCTACAGCTTCTATAGAAAAGGCACAGGGACAGGGTATGGGGGGCAAACTCCTTTATACGAAACAGTACTTACCTCCCCATATAGTCTGTGCTTCAGTGGGACAGCACTTCTTCCTGGATACCAGGCTTATATCTGTAGCACACACTTGAACTATGTATTCAGAGGCATTGTTGAGTGTTCCCAAATATTTACAGATACCATTTCTCGAATAATCCAAAATTATCATAGTTTCTTCAAAAAACCTCCCAAAGGAATCACTGCTTTGTTCTTTATGAGTATTCTGTAAACTGTAATTCCTACCAAGGGAACGAAACAATGAGAGATGAGGGTTCAGAATGAATCAGTAATTTTAGCTGAAGTCACAAATGAAACCCTTTCTGCTCTAAAAGCCTAACAAACCAAGGTCATTCTTTACAGTGGTCAAGGTCAGTCATACAGCCCTCATTTTCCTGTTCGCCAGCCAAGGAGCGGGTTATGCTCCAGCAAATATTCTCTTTTTATACCTACACACACACTGCAGGAGAAATAAAACAATCTGAAGTTGAAGGAACAAGTCCCTTGCTGATACAGAGCAGACTCAGCCCGGTTCCGGGACACGTTTCCATTTCCTGGGGTCATAATATCGGCCCCTGGCTTGGAGACCTGGTATAGGATTAGTAGTTCTTGCATTGCTAATAGTTGCCTATACAGTATATCCTGTTGAGATCTGTAAATGCCACTGCACAGCTTTTAACACTTCACAACAGGAAGAAAAAGATTAGCCCTGGTGTCACCATTCGACACGTATTGACCTGTGTCCAGACACCCCCTGCCAGCGCTCTCACAGTAGCTAGCCTAGAGCAAACCTCCAGCTCCATAGGCCTGCCCCCCACGTCTCCTAGCCAAAGCCCAAACCCTGGCACCGGTTCATCCTAACACTCTGTCCGAGACACCCTGCAGTACATGTTCTCTTGCATTCAAGAGCAAGTCCAGCTTGTCCTGCAGCTGTGTTCCTGGTGGCCCTTGTGAAGGGCACAGACAATCCCAGAGCACACGTGGGCCTGGTTCCCGTCCTGGCTCTGCCACTCACTGATCACGGGCCCTGGGCACACTCCCTACTGCTCCCAGAGCCTCAGTTTCTCCATATATAAAACAGGAACACCCTGTCTCAAAGGATGGTGTGAAAAATTAGATGAGGCCAAATAAATGGGAGTCCAGATCAAGATGGTGCCATTGGAGGATCCTGGACTTGCCTCCTCCCACAGAAACATCAAATCTATAGCTACATACAGAACGATTTTAAAAAATAATAAACCGAGCAAACAAAAAATCCACATCGAAGCGAGTACCAGAGGTTGAGGCACAGTCTCACCATCAACCCCATCCCCAATACAAGGAACTCAAAACCCTAAGCTTCTCCTTGAGGAACAAAGGGTTTGAATCCCATGTTTGGCACCCCAGCTTTTAAGATCTGCACCTGAGAAATGAGCTCCCAAAATATGTAGCTTTGAAAGCCAACAAGACGCAAGCCCACAAGACCCACCGGGCTGTCGTGACATGACAAACTTCTTAAAGGGTCCTGTGCAGCCTCGCCCACCCCAGGGCCCACGCAGAGGCAGCCAACTGGAAAGTGCCCAGACTGTGTGAGAAAGAGGCTTGCCTGCTTAAAGCATTAGCCTGAAGGACAGGTATCTAATTTAACACACATCCATGGACCTGCTGAAATACTCTCCAAAGACAGAGACACCATCCTCAACCCTCTGCTTCGCTCCAGGCTCCAGGACCTCCTGGAAAGGAGCTTGTATCCACGTCTGCTGCTGAAATGTTTGTGGCTGCCACCCAGGGAGCCCTAGACCCCCTGGCTCTGGTCACCAGAGTGGCTTCCATCCACAGGTCCCACAGAAATGTAACAAACGGAGAAATAGTTCTTAACTGGCTGTCACCCCAGGGATCAGTCCAGAGGGAATGGACAGAAACGCCCATCTCCTCATCTTTCACTGAAAGAGGTATTTTTGGATACTTTAAAAGCTTCTTCTTGGGTGGGAGGAGTGGCAGCTGCCAAGCAGCCCAGCTTGGCGAAGGCTCTGGGCACCACGGCCCCAGGCACCTGCACACCCTGCCCCCGCCACAATGCCCAAGAGGGAGGTCTGCTGCAAGGGGTGCGCAGGAGTTCCAGAGGAGGGCAGCAAGGTGGTCAGCTGCACCTGCTCCTGCAGAAGTGGAAGTGAGGCCAAAGAAGGCAGAGGAAAAGATAAATCTTCAGACAAAAGTGCAAATGAAAGGTAAGAGGGGAGCAAAAGGAAAACAGGCCAAGTGGCTAACCAAGAAAATAAAAATTTACCTGCAGAAAATGGAGAAAGCAAAAATGAGCCCAACCCCTCAGGAAGCCAGAGAGAAAGAATCCAAGTCTGATTAATACCGTATACTATACCTTATAAGTGGCCCCTGTCTCCCTTCCTGTACAAGCCAGAGAAATATTTTTATCGACTGTTTTTTAAATGCAAGTTTTTTAGTAACTCTGGAAACATTTTTAAGAAGAGAATTCTACCTCATCCCATTTTTTAAATGTAAATGCTTTTTTTTTAAGAGGTGAAATAATTTGCTGGGTATTTTTTGTTTTGTTTTTTTGGGGGTTTTTTTGGTACAACCAGAAAATCATGAGATATTGAATATGGGAGGCTTTGATTGTCTTGGGTGTCAGCATACAAAAAAGGGCAATTTGGAGTCAGTCCTGCATTTAATATGTCTTGAACATTTTAGATGACTTCTATTCCCATGTTTTTGACAGAACTATTTCCTAAAGAAAACCAGTCCTTAATCCTAACTCTCCCTGTCGAAATTTTGTGTAACATCTTCATCGCAGTAGTCCAGTTTTCCTCGTAACTTTGTTAATGTGCTATGAAAAATTGGAAGTTTGATTATGTAATGTATATGATAATAAATTGTGAATTAGTGGGACTTTGACGTAACAGTATATCAACATTTGAAGATATTGGTCCTCAATATTGAGTATGAGTAAAACTAGCCTCAAAATTTTAAGCTGGAAAGTCACTGGAATAACTGTTTAGAAAAGAATCACAACTACATAACTTTTTAGGTTTTTGGTATATACATTAAAAATTGTGTACAAATTGAAATGTCTGTGTACTTATTCTCAAAACAACCAACAAAATCTCGATTATAAAAGAAAAAAAAAACCTATTACCTAAGTGTATGGCTTCCAATCAGCCCAAATCTAGATGGCTGAGAGCCTCCCCTTTGTGAAAGTGACAGGTCATGGTACACCCTCAACCACAAAAAATAAAATGGGCTGCTTGGACAATCACGAAGGTTTGAGAGGCAACCAAGAGCTAGAGCAGAGTCAAACAGTAAGTTTCACCTCCTACACTAGGCCACTCCTATAAGACTGGGAGAGGTGCTTATTGCACCTAATGTGTGAAAAACAACACAGAGAGCCCAAGAAAATGAAAAAACAAAGTAGTATGTCCCAAGTGAAAGAACAAGATAAAACCTCAGAAAAAGACCTTAATGAAATGGAGGTAAGTGATTTACCTGATAAAGAGCTCAAAATTATGGTCAT